TTCTTAAATTTTGTTTTCTTTTGCAACATGACTAATATGGAAATGTTTTGCATGATACGTATCAAACCGCTTGCTTCCTCAAGGAGGGGAAGAGGAGAGGGAAAAGAGGGGGGAAGAGAATTTGGAACTTAAAATTTAAAAAAATGTTAAAAATTATTTAAAATGTAATTAAAAAATATAAAAATTTTCACTTGGAGAAAAAAAATTACTCCCCTACTCAAAAATTTCAATGACTCCCCATTGCTTATTAGAATCTAAATTCCTTAGGGGCCTGGGAAACTTGTCCTTTTTTTCTTGCACTAAAGGGGCCTTTCTCAGCTCTGCACTCATGTATATAGATTAGGTCCAGTCTTGAAGAAACCTGGTTCCTAAAGAAGGGTCAGTCAGTCCACTATTATTTATAAAGCACCTTCTATGTGATATTCACTATGCTAAGTGATTAAGGTATAAAGAAAGGCAAAGCAAAATGAAATAATATAAACCAAACTAAATCCTGCCCTCATGGACAGTATATTCTAATGGGTAAATGTAAATAATTATTTGCATATAAGATATATGCAAAATGGATGTAAGGTAATCCAAAAGGATTAGTTACAGGGACCAGGAGCGGTCTTTGCTTGAGCTGCGTCTTGAAAAAATGCTAAGCAAACTATAAGGTGGAGGATATGAAGAAAAACATTGTAGGAACAGGGAACAGTATGTGTAAAGGCACTGTTATAAAAACACCAGACAATTCAGAATTCAGCCTGAGACTGGGCTCAGTGAATTCCCCAACAAGAGTTAGCTGGGTCTTAAAGAAATCACAGTTGAGGAGTGAGAGAAGAGATACCTTTATTGTTAATTCTTTGGAGAATTGGATGTGTTTCCTTAAGGGAATCACACACCTATACAAGAGTAGAGCAAGTGATTATATAGGATTACTTGGCTTTAACCCCCTTGTCCCAACATTCCTGCATGTCCCATTTAACATCTGTGTTTGCAATGCAGTATCTATTTGTTTCTATAGAGTCTGTGAAAACCAATCTCCCCCTCATCATGTTTACATATTTGTGTAAACCAGTAAACCAATAAACCAATCTCCCTCTGTCCTGTTTTCTTATCAGTTGTCTGGGAACCAAACTGTTAGCATTTTTCACAGCATGGAGGCAAAAGACGGAGTATAGTGTTTGATGAACTGACCAAAGGCCAGTGTAGCTGGATCATAGAATACATAGAAGAGAGTCAAATGTAAGAAGACTGGAAAGGCAGGAAGGGGTCAGGTTCTAAGGTTCTGAGGGGCTCTAAATGCCAAATAGAGGGCTTTATATTTGATCCTGGAAGTAATAAGAAGCTACTGGAGCTCACAGAGCTGGAGGGGGTAGTGAGGTCGAGTTGAAGTGAACTCTTGCTCTTAATATCTACCATCCCAGAACACCCGGCAGAATAATTTGAAGCTTAGGTTTGCATCATGTTATCAGGTTTCCCCAAAAGAGAATAGAAAGATGCTAAATGGATAATATAAATACAATATAGGGCAAATATTATTTCCTTCATACAAAAGAAATGCTTAACAGCTAATGTTATACTCTCTCAATTAAAATATGAGCCATTTTGAAGGACTGCTAAATAGGCATTCCATATTCACTTGGCTCTGCATTGCTTCCCTCATGGCCATACCTTCAGGCAAGCTAGGCCAGGAGTGGGGCCCCTCCAGTTTGTTGGTCACTGTCTGTTCTTCCAGGAAGCTGTTTAGTAGTATTACCTGGCATCTCCTATATTATAACCAGCTCAGAGGAAACCAGGAACCAGACCTCTGCAACTCACAAGGTTGCCTCCAATGCTAGAACCGTCTATTTCAGGATATTTGGTCACTTATGCTTTTCAGGTGTCATAACGGGTGGGAATGGCCAAGAGACTTATCCAAGTTTTGCTAGTTCATCCCAAACCAACAAGCCCTTCAGTGCTTGACCACTCCAGTCCCAGCAAATTGGGACATTTGTCTGGCCCCCACAGGACCACCTCCACACATGCTGCATAGGTGGTACCTACAATTTAATCCTTCTATGCCTGCATTTGAGACCCTCCAGAAGTTTAGTTTTATTTAGCTGTCTAAGCTTATGTAGGGCCTCCTCTGGGCTATCCTCTTCCCAACTTACACACAATTGTTGGGTCTTCTGGGGCATGACAACCCCAGGTTCAAAGCACTCGGTGAAGCTACATAATTGCTTAGGGCACCTAGGTGGTTCAATGGATAGAGCACCAGATCTGGATTAGACTACTTCCTGGGCTCAAGTCTGGCCTCAGATACTTACTAGCTGTGTGACCCTGAGTAAGTCACTTAACCCTGTTTGCCTCAGTTTCTCATCTGTAAAATGAGCTGGAGAAGGAACTGGCAAACCACTCCAGTATCTCCGCCAAGGACACCCCAAATGGGGTATCAGAGAGTGGGACACGACTGAACACCACCACCTCCTCTTTCAGAAAGGGTATCGTTGATAAAAGGCTTCAGACTTCCCAGCGGGGGTAGGAACCCCTAACGGCCTGAAATGGAGGAGGAGCGTGGGAACAACACGAATAACCGCACCCCCCCTTCCGCCTCCTTAGGCCACACCCGATGCTCAGAAGCCTATCACGCGCGAAACGTCATCACGCTGCGTCGTGGCATCTCCGGGTCACGTGCCCAAGAAGTGGCGCCGAGGACATGGCGGCGTCCCAGCGTGAGGGGCGTGTCCAGATAGCCGGGGCGCAAGATGGCGCTAACCGGAGCGCGTGTGCTGCGTTGTTGGGGAGCTAAGTGGCTGGGGGCCACGGCCGCCGCCACCCGGAGAGGTAGGGGTTATTTGCTGGCCACCCACGGGACCTCCTGCCGACTCCCCGAACCCACGCTCCCAGGTCCGTCCCTTTTCCCGCTCTCCAGCTTCGATCTGGGGGGCGCTGTTGTGGCCCAGTCTCTCCGACCCTGGTCCCCCAGTCCCCGTACAGCGGGGATAATTCTCGTGTTTTTACAGCTGTTGGGAGGCCCAGTGAGATGAGTTTATTTGTCTTGGTCTCTGGGGCTACCCCTCTTCTGCTCCCATCTGAAATACAGGCCTCCTGAACGTAACTTGTCACCTCAGCTAGGACCCAGACCCCCAAATGTTACCCCACCACCCCTCATGCCACTCTGCCACCCCTTTTAAGGTTCCCAGCCAGGACCCAGACTTCTGAATATCACCCCACCAGCCCTCTCCCGCTCCCAGCCAGGATCTCCTTTTCTAACCTCCCCTCCCCCCAAGCTCTTCTTTGGGGAGTACCTCCCCTCTTGGACTCCAGGGTTCCCATCCCAGTCTCATCCTTTTCATTGCCTTTCTCTGGTTTGCTCTGCAGACATCAGTTTCAAGCTAGATGAAAAGACAGCTCATACCAGCCTCGCAATCTTCAAGGGGGAGACCGGTGTTAAGTATGGCATGGTGGGGCTGGAGCCCACCAAAGTGGCCCTCAATCTGGAACGCTTTAAGGAGTGGGCTGTGGTGCTGGGTAACACCGCAGTCACCAGTGGTCGGCACTATTGGGAGGTAACAGTCAAGAAATCTCAGCATTTCCGAATAGGTGTGGCGGATGTGGACGTACCTCGGGATTGCTGCATCGGTGTGGATGATCATTCCTGGGTGTTCACATATGCTCACCGGAAGTGGCATGCCATGCTAGCCAATGAGAGGGCCCCCATAACAGGCATTGGCCAGCCTGAGAAGGTGGGGCTGCTGCTGGAGTATGAGGCACAAAGACTGAGCCTGGTGGATGTAAGCCGGACATCTGTAGTGTACACCTTAAGGACAAAATTCCGGGGCCCAGTGGTGCCTGCCTTTGCCCTTTGGGATGGAGAGCTGCTGACCCATTCAGGGCTTGATGTGCCTGAAGGAATCTAGGGTGGCTTAACCAGACCCTCTCACAGAAGCCCCTGGGTGGGCCCTTTTATATGTCCAGCCCAATTTATTCTAGTTCTCATACCTACTCATCCAGCAGTTATTGGGCAGTTGTGCAATATCTTAAATTCATCTGCCATTCTTTTTTCTATTCCCTATGGAGGTTGAAGAGACAGCTCCCAGTTCTGCCAGACACATAATGTGTCTGATTTTGTTGGGGACCAGTTTGGTTATAGAGAATGATACCTGCGCCTCCCTTTGGGCCACTAGCCAGTCTTAGATTTTACCCATCCTGAAAGTTTGCTCCACCTCTGCTTTAACTTCATTACTATAATTCTACTTGAGACATAAACCAAGGTGACCCTCTCCCACTCTGCCCATATTTGGAGTCTACTGGTTTTCTGTTTGGGAGCTCTACCAAACTTCTCCAGAATAAGCCCTTTCTACCTGTGGCTAGAGAAATGGCAAAGTTGTCAACGTGTCATTGCCCCTTTCTTTGTGTAGTACATGGAGTCTGGACTTTTAACTCATTCACAAGTGCTTTATTGACTCAGTGTGCTGTAGCCTGAGAACATGGCCCTGACCCCAACAATATCAGAACCATATAACCACATAGCTGCAACCATTCCCATCCATGAGTCTTTCTGTCTGTTGAGATTCCTATACTCAATCAGTCAGTTACAATTGTGGAGGACAATGGAGAAAACTTAGGGGTTAGCCAAGGTCAATGGTACTGGGAGTTGGCATTTTTGAGGGTACCATCTTTACAAACATTCCCTCCTTTGAGGATTTTGTAAAGGGGTTGCTGGGCAGGAAGTTTCACCTAAATCATGTTTGGCAGAGAGACTTGAAAATTTTCAGTTTTAATCAAATGATATGATAAATAGTATTCTCTGGGTCATGGACCCATTGTCCCCTTCACCTCTTAATTAGAAGTGATCTTTGCCTTTTCCCTAGAATAAATAAGAACCCATATAAAGCAAGATTTGAAGTATATGTAGTGGCTATTACTGTATAAATATACATTCTGTACACTGTCTGGCCCCTCCTACTGTAGTGGTGGTGGCTAAACACTCCTCATCAAAAGAGAAAAGGAGAGGGCTGGGTTTAACAAAAATATTGATTTGTGTAATTAAAATTTTATTTGATCACAAAATACTTTCTCTGTCTATAAAAGAACTATTAGCAGCATTATATCCTGGCTGAAGGGGGTACAGTACACTTCAGCCTCCTTCAAACCAGGCTCCTCAGCTTTCCCCATTTCTTCTCTGTATATACTTATTAGAGGTGTAGTAACCGAGGGCTCCTCATCAGTGCACTCTTCCTTTCTTTAATATGTTTCTTCAACCATGGAGTCAGGGAGAAGAAACAGAATACAGACCGTTCTCATATTATGCAAATTTGACTCCTGCCATCCCTGTGGCTCAGGCTCCCAGCAAGCAGTGACAGGGTGGTGTGCCAGGGGTCCTCCACTGTACACACTGAAGCCACTCTGGCTAGGGTTGGGGTAGGGAGGTGCAAGCCTCCAAGAGCTCCAAGGGAAGGGGGACATAGGGAGGAGGGGGGGTCTATGGAAAGGTCCACTTACTTAAATGAGAACTGGCTGTATTTAAGAAGAAACTTAGGTAAACCCTCTGGGAATGCTGATTGAGTCAGAGGACTTACTTGCACCATGCAGAAACCCAAACCTTCTGGCCAAAACCCAATTCAAAAACTGGCAGTGCCCACTAGGACCCCTCTCTGGGCTTTGTCTGAAAAGGTCATGGGAGGATCTGGCTCATGATGGGGGTGGTGTGGTGAAGGGGCTGGGGACAGTATGAATACTCATCAAAGAGGCTCTGGCCTAAGACATTAAGCTGACTTCCCCTTTTCCCTCACTGAAGCCAGGGAGACTTCATTCCTGTTGATTCTTGTTTAAGGGAGGGGGTAACCCCCATCACACCATGCTCTCCAGGTTTTCCTTAGATAAGGCTTCAGCTGCTGCCTCAGCCTGAGTCTCAGACAAAGTATAGGAGTCCTGGTAATCCTGCAGCAGTTTGACTACTTCCAGATGGTTGAACTGCACAGCATCATGCAAGGGAATGTTGCCCCACCTGTGAAGGACAGAGCAAAAATCAGTCAAATAGGGAACTGGGTAGTGATAAAAAGAGACAAAAGAAAGTTCCACCTACTGGTTCCTCCTCCTCACCTGTCCTTCACAAAAGGATTTACTTTGCAGGCTTCCACCAGGAACTTGACAACCTCCAGGTGTCCTAGGGGTACCAAGAGGGTCAAGGCTTGGAAGCCTCTGACAACCCAGTCCGGTTAGCCTCCCATGACCCTTAGTGAAGGGTTGGGCACAAAGAGGGGGGTAAAAAGTTCTTTTCCTATCCCCTTATTCCTTTAAACAGCAGAGTGTAATTCTAGCTATAAATTGTAGTCAGGGGGTCCTAATTTGGAGGCTTTGTGCCTCCAATCAGGACAGTAGCACTCAATTTGAATGAATGCATACATGTGCTCTAATGGAGGCTGGTTCATTCTTTGTGTCTGGTAACCCAGAGAGGAAAAGGAATGGGATGTGATGGTGAGTAGATGGAATAAACCTGCAAGTGGGCTTTTATGGTCTGGAGCCCCTGTCAACCTTTCAGATACCTTCTGCTGCAGCAACATGCAGTGCTGTGCGGGAGTCATAGTCCTTCTGTTCCATGTCCATGGCTGACAAGGCAAACCTAGGAGCAACAGCACAAGAGCTGCTGGTGTCCTTTTTGAAACAGGGTTGGTACTCAGAGAAGTGTGGAGGAAAATAAGAAAGAGGGCCTCTGCCATGCCTGAAGTGCTCCAGCTCTTCCAGGGGGCCTTGGTGGTTCTATGCCCACCTGAATGAGTATCTCCCAAGGAAGAGTAGGGGCAGGAAGATGCCCAGAAGTACCAGTCCTCAGATTTGCCAGGTGTATCCTCACTCATAGGGCCCTGCTCTATCCAATAGCACACTTCTGTGGGTGGCAGCAGGCACTGACTCTAGAGGAATCCAGAAGACCCAGATGCTAATCCTAGCTGTCACACTCCCTGTGTGATCTCAGTTAAGTCACAACCTCCCTGGGCTTCAGTGTTCTCATCTATAACACAACAGGGAGCTGGACTAGATGGCCAAAGGCCCTTCTGGCTCTTAATCTATGAGCCTGAGTTCTTATTTTTAGCCACCAGGGTGATAGTACCTTCGAAGAGCTGAAACATCTCCACTGTAGGCAGCAAAAAGCAGGTTCACCACAGTCTTGTTCTGGGGGGGCGGAAAAGCAGTTACCTGAGGACAGTGGTGCCACACATGGACAGCCCTAATGTGTTTAGGCACACTTACGTGAGCAGTCATGGGTGCTTGCTGCTCAAGGTGCTGAGAATGGCCTATTTTAGGAATCTTTTCTACAACCAACCATGATTTTTCCTACCCGTACTTCTCCTCCTTCACGTCGAGGGTCCAGCTTCTTAGCACAGTGCCGCAAATTGTCATAGTTGTGGAAGTTGAAGAGAGATACCAGCTTCTACAGTCACAGCCAAGGGGAGACATGGAAAGTAACATATAGTAGGTATTCAACAAATATTTGATTTGAATTGGATCCTAAAGGTACAACTTACCTGGCAGAAGCTGATGCCCCTGAGGCTGTTCCCCACCTTGTCCAGAGGGGGTGACAGGCACATCAACCCCATGACATTGGGTACCACAAGCAAGATGGCTCCTGACACTGCAGATTTGGCTGGGAGGCCCACCTGGGAGACCAAAGATGGGGCTGAACATGTGTCAAGGATTGTACACAACTTGGCTACATAACCACTGTGGGAGAGGCCACATATGCCCATCTCTTGAGCTCTCCCACTTGAGTGGCCAAGGATGCTGCTCAGGCTCCTGTGAATATTTTTTTTTGACATTCTCATAATTAACCTATGATTTTCCTTACATGTACATCTCTATAATACTGCTAATTTATAATACTGCTAAATCTACATTTAGGTCCTTCTCTCCCCCGCCCCATCCCCAAAGGCTCTTGCTTAATAGCCTGATCTTCCTGACTGGAAGAAAAGAAAGATCAGCCTGAATATCTCTTGACAAAAAATGTAGGTAGTCCAAGTAGACTTACATGGAAGGCAAACTGTCCAGAGAAGTCATACATGCCACAGGAATGCATGAGGCTGAGGGTGTTGCGAACAGATTCAGCACTCAGCACACTCTCGCCTGTGATAGGGCAGATTCCACCATTGGCGAGTGTGGCCGCCATGACACTGCCCGATTCACATGTCACCTCCACTGAGCACAGCTAGGGAAACAAGGGGTATAGTGGAGGATGTTGTGTAACCAGTCACTACCTTCATTTTGGATGGGGGGCAGGGATAGAGGACCCTGATGTGATGAGAGAAGTCTTCCTGACGAGATACCCCTTTCAGCACGGAGAGTATTTTGTCTCTAGTTCCCACTCAGAAGGCTCAGGGCTAAAACTTTTTTTATTTACCTGGAAGTAGAGGTCCAATGCGGCCATCATGTCAACTCCCTTAGGAAAACACTGCAGGGGAAGAACAGAAAAATGAATTAACTGCACCATTTAGTCAACAGAAGTCATTGCTTTTCAGTCCAAATTCCTTAACACCAACTAAGCTTCCTGCCCCTCTAGTTTCTTTCTTTTTTTGGGGGGGGGGGACGGGAGGAGGAGGCAATTGGGATTACATGACTTGCCCAGGGTCACACAGCTAATGTCTGAGGCAGGATTTGAACTCAAGTCTTCCTGACTTCAGGGTCCATGTTCTATCCACTGTACCACCTAACTGCCCCCCTGCCCCTCTAGTTTCAACAGAATTTCTGCTAACTTCCTCCAGCACCCTTTGTTACCTTTTTCTCCTTGAGATAATAGCCAATGGCATAATTTCGATCTCCAGTTTCCTTTTCTGACTGGAACCTACGGCAAAAACTAGTTAGTAAGCCTAAAATTTGGAGTAGGTCATAAAAAGAGGAAATATTTTCTCTGCATTAGGGGAAATCATATCATCGACATCCTACTAAACTTTTGACCCTGTGCAGGGAAGGATAGAATATAGGCCAGAGAAAACCTTCCAACAATCTATTCCAGGAGGACTAGATTAGGAAACATCTAGGACAGGGATGGAACCCAGGCAGTGTCCTAATCATTACCAACCTCAATCTACTGAAAAAAAAATGCTACACCTCAATGAAATGTCAATGAAATGAAGCACTAATGTTAAGTTACAGGATAGGAGCAGCAGATGCCCCAAAGTACCCTTAGATTTCCCCTTCCCCCAAAAAAAATCTCTCATGGAGTCTTAAAAATCTCTCATGGAGTCTCACGTAGCATTGCTGAAGCCCATATATTCATTTCCTGCCATTTTGTTCAGATACTGCAACACCTAGAAGAGAATAAGAGGAGTCAGGAAAAATATTCCATCTAAGTAATGAAACCTCTACCCTGACAAAGACCAAGTTGACAAGGTCTTTTGAATCACTTAATATTGATCACAGTTTGGCATTAGAGCTCAGGAACTTCAAAGGGCTCCCAATTCAAGGCAAAGGCTAGTAGCTTCCCACACCTCAGAAAATGAGGGTCATAATCTGGGCTGGTGCATTGGCTACTGGAAACATTTCATGTGGCAGCAAGTGAACTTACAAAATCAAACTTCTCTGCTTTATTGCAGTCCATCTGCAAAAAGAGACATATATCAGTGCAGGGGAAAGGATGGGGTGATGACCCCAGGGTAGACATAGGAAGATTTGGAAATGGGAGAGGACTGATCTTGATGGAGACATGGTAGGAATGAAGGTAGGGGGTAACGTCTGGACATGTATGACCCAGAGCAGCCAGCATTGAGCAATGATGAGGGGACCAGACCCATCTCCCACTTCCCCACACCAGTGTGCTGCCTAGAGGATCAAAAACACAGGTTCCTACATCTCAGCAGTGGGGGGAGGGCAATCGGGTACCACCTTCCTCAACAGGGGCTGCGATTGGCTCCCAGGGTGTTGCTGCCCTCAGGGTTATTGCTCAAGGCCTGGGAGGCCTACAGCTGGTGGGACAGTCTGATACCCCTGCCCAAGGCCAACTCAGCAGTTCCAGGTGACTAACAGCTGCTTCCACTCAGGCCATTCACCCTCTCTCCTGTCTACTCCCTCACCCTGATGTGACCAATCAGCACAGAAAAGTGCTGTCCTCCCTCTGGTCTTGGCACTTAGCCTTTGGGATCAGGGAGGTAGTTAGAGCCTTTTCTCTCCTCTAAGGACCAAGGTGTTATGCTAGGGCAGGGAATGTACCCATTGTGCTGAGACTTTTCCAAAGAGATGGTAAGACCAGGATCCTGACAGTTTCCATGTCCCCTCTGGGGAATCAGAGCTAGGTGTAAGCTTATTTGAAGAGCTGGCTAAGGCAGAGGGATCTTACACTTTACCTCAGTGGAAAATGGGGAATACAGAGCTAGAGACATTTGAAGGATGAATAGTTTTGGCAGTATTTTTGGACTGAGGTCAGGACCCTTACCTTTACCAGGGAACTCACAACAATGGCACCAGCATTTACCATTGGATTATGAGGGATTCCTGGGGAGACACAATCCACCAAAGGCACTATCAGTCGGGGCTCTGGGACAGAACTGCGTCCCACCCTCTATTGCCCTCAGCCCTCTCATTCTGTTGGTCAGTCTGAAACTCACAGACCATTTTTCTGGGAAAGTGGAAAATACTGAGCTAAAAGAACGGGCAGAGAAGCACATGGAGAAAGCAAAAAGGAAGAGCAGAAAAGTAGCAGCCTATGCTTTGGTCTGAGTTATGGCAGCTCTCACCTTCCTCATTGAGGGAAAGCTTGTTGTAACGTAGACCACTGGGCTCTTTGCCCACATATTTATGCACATACTCAGTGCCCAGGTTGCTGACAGAGATGGCGTAAGTGAGGGGCTTCACACAGGACTGTAGACAGAAGGGGATCTTAGTTTGTCCTACTGAGTGCCTATAGATAGAGAAAAGCTATGAAAACGGTGGCCTTAGTTCTGCAACTCTTCCCTCCCTGCCTACTCTTCCCCCTTACCCAGTATCCTCACCTTTGTCCATCCACTGTGCATAGTGAGACACCCCACAGATCAGGATCTGACTTGGCTAGTTGGGGAATGTAGGCTGCCACCTGGGCAAGAGGAAGTTTGGGAGAGAGAAAGAAGAAAGAAAGGAGAGAGGGGAGGAGGAGGAAAAGGAGAGGACAGGAAAGGTGCGGGGGGGGGAGAAAGAAAGAGAGAGAGAGAGAGAGAGGTTAAAGGAGTTAAAATTTCACATAGTCAGAGTTGGAAGGTATCTCAGAGGTCATCTTGTTCAACAGGAATCCCTTTGACGACATTCCCGATAAGTGATTATCCAATCTCTAATTGAAGACTGCCGGCCTTCAAATCTTTCAGCTTTTCAAATACAAGTTTACAAACTGTGGCTTTCTACATGTCCCATCCCCAGCCCAAAGTCCTTTATTATGTATTTTGGAGGATTCCCTCTTTTCATGGTCCCCAAGTACATCAAAGAACTGCTGGACATTGGAAGGAACAAAAAGGGAAGTCCTTGGAGCTAGCTTCCTTTAGATATAGATATATATACATTATCTATAAAGTTTCCTTTAGATATCCACCTCTATCAAATTGCCAGATCCTTATGGTAGTTGGTCTTTTTCCTTATTTCTCCTCCCCAGAACCTCAGGAACTTTATTGAGCTGGGATCTGTGCAGTGGGGGTAGAAATTTGGCTCCTAATCATTGGGACTCATTCATAATCCTCTTCCTTTAGCCACAGAAGACCTTAGAGCATATTTCCTCCCCCTCGACTGTCCCGTTCCTAACCTTGCCTTCTGTGTGTTCTTTGGTTTCCTCAAAGATGCGATCCACATGATCTGTGAACTCCTCAAAGTCAGGAATGACGAACTTTTTTCGGAATGCCTGGGTCAGGAGCACAATGTTGCTGCTCACACATCTGGACCACACAATCACAACTGAATTAGGGGGATGAAGTTAAAATATTACTCCACCCACTCAACAGGACCCTTTAGGGTTGGGGGAAGGAAACAGTAAGCTAAGAGCTGTGCTGGGGCTTGACCCTAACTACCTGTGAGACCTTGGGTAATCACAATCTCTCTGGGCCACAGCTTCCTCATCTATAAAAACAGATTGGATGAAGTGATCTCTAAAATCTCTTACAGTTTTAATATCCTATGAATTTGTGATTTTTAGACAGAAGTGAAAGAAGTGCTTTTGTATCCTGGCTCTTACTTTCTAAAAAGATCACGGTCTAAGAGACCCCCACTGCTGGAATCTTGAACCATCTGCCGCATCTGGCTCATACAATCCCAGAGCCGGGGGTCTGATGTCTGCAGTCCAGTAGCTTTCAGTGCCTTTAGGGGAAAGAGATGGCTCCATGAGCTCTGGGATGAGATCTCTCATCCTTTCCTAACCTAATACCTTGCCAGCCCATGTTTAACTATGGGTACTAAAACATGGTGATGTTCTTTGCCTGGTCTCAGCCTTTTACTATTGGAAGAAGGACCAATGGGTAGGAGTTGGAGGGAGGTAGATTCCACCTCAAGCTAAGGAAGAACGGAATGGACACTCAGTGAGTTTCCTAAAATTGAAGGTCTTCAAATAAGAGGCTGGACAGAGCCCATATGGCTTTCTGGGGACTGATTCATGCTTTGGACAAAGCACTTCTGAGACAGGTTCCTTTAAACTCTAAGATTCTATATTCTATTAAAGAAAGTACTGGAGTAGCTCCATTATTGGTCTCTCTCATAAAGAAAAATAGTAACTTCTGTACTTGGTTTGATTTACTGGTTCATAGTTGAAAGCCCCAAGGTCACAGGGTATTCCCTTGGAAACCATCCTTAGATTGACCAGGAAGATTAACAGGCATGCCTGAGACAGGAGTAAGATGGCCCCTACTAACCTAGGAATTTTTAAAACCACTAGTTAACCTCATGTATTATAGGTTCCCAACAGCAGTTTTGCATGCATGCTGCCCTGTTGTCTCCTACCCCATCAGAAACTTGGGGAGCTAGGTAGGGGAAACTGGAGAATAGCTCACAGCAGTAAACTTATGGATGGCGATCCTTTCTTGTCCTTCAGCAATGGTGTAGAAGAGCAAGTCACCCAGGCAGGACAGCATGCCACTTTCTGATGAATCACTGTTTGGGGGTGTGGATAAGGGGGAGAGATCAGAGGTCTCAGACACATTCTCTAGACTTCTCTCCTGTTTCATCTAGGAGCAGAGGTTAAGGACTGTCTTATGAGGAGAAATGCAAATGACTGCAATGTGTTTCCTTTAGGTGGCATTTATATCTATTTCCGGAGCTTCATTCAGAGCCAAAAGAGAGGGCTGACTATATATAGATGTATGTGTTTATATCTATATCTATATATGTATATATGTGTGTGTGTGTCTCTGTGCGAATACATGTTGAGTGTGTATGTAGAAGTCTTTGAGAATCCTGACTTTTCCCATCCTACCTCTCTTTTTGGCATCCCAAGCCTAGACAGGAAGGAGGAAGAGAGAAACTGGACTGGGAGGTTTAGCACTAGCAAAATTTCCTCAGCAGGGAAGAAAGGTGAGGAATCACGCAGTCTCCCAGAGAATGGGGACATCTGGGGTAATGGAGAAAGGCCAGCACACACGTACCTACACGTAAGCAAACAAGATCCTACTCTGGTTTGCTGGCTAACTCTGAGCTGGGGAAATCTAATTCTCAGTGAATTAATTCTGCTGGGGTGGGGGGGAAGGAAGAGAACCAGCATTTATTAAGTGGCTGCTATGTGCCAGGCACTGTGCTTTTCAAATATTATTTTATTCCATCCTCACATGACTGTGAAGTAGGTACCAAAAAACTCCCCCTTTTAGTACTCACATAAAAATCTACCCTAGTCTGTAAGCTTAATTTATGACCCACATAGGTGCTATCCTGTAAAACAAACATACATACACACACATCACATTCTTCTAATCTTGAGCTAATGCAGCAATAACAAATCTCATCATTCTATGTCACCCAGATCAATTAACACAGTGAAGGCATAGACATACATACATATACATTTACATATATGTGTGTGTGTGTGTGTATACACACACACGCACACACATATATACATACATATATATGTCAGACAAAAAGCTAGACACTGGAGGAAATATTGCCCAAACATTGCCACCACCCCATCCTCTACAAGCAAATATTTAACTAGACTTGTACTCTAAATGTAAATACCACCCAAACAACCCGCACCCAGCATTATGGAGAAGATAATTCTCTTTTTATATATATATATATATATATATATATATATATATATATATATATATATATATATATATATATATATATATTACATATAACATAATATTGTTCCAACTAAGTCTAAACACCCCAGGTTACACTAGGTTGGGATCGGGAAGGAAAGGTGGGAGGGGAAGAATAAGTAGAATTGGAGAGGGGAGGGTCTTGTGCCCCGAAACTCCAGGACAGGGCTCTGCCCACCTACGCACCTTGCAAACGTACATTCCGCAGGGTCAATATGACTCAACCCCCGTCCCGAAGGACTCCGCAGGATAGCCCAGGTGGGCCGGACCCAAACCCCCAAATCCCAAGGCAAGGGCATCACGGTGTAGCGCGGTGGGAGAGGAGAGATCAGAAGGGAGGAGGTGGGAGGTAGGTGGAGAAATGGGGAGACAGCAGAGCGCTTCCCAGAGGAGGGAGGGAGAAAGGCGCTGGAGCTTGGGGCGCTGTGGCGATGAGTGCACCCCCCCCCGCTCCGCACTCCTCCCGCCTTACTGTTCCTTCTGATGCGGCGGCTGGTGGCTGTTCAGCATCTCCCTGCCTTGCGCCGCGGTGGCCTCGTGTGGATGGTGGCGAACGTTTCCAACAAGGAGGGGACCCCGGGCCAAGGGACCCCATGCTCCCTGCCCGGGAGGCCGTCCACCTGGTCGTCCACACAGAGCTCCCCGGAGAGCTCGCAGGGAGCGCATCCCCGGGCCTCCAGCAGTCGGTTCCGCGAGCGAGCACAGAAGCGCCTAAGAAGAAGCTAGGGTGGGGCTGGGAGGACAGGATGATGGAGAGGTGCAGAAGGAGGTGCCAGGTATAGGTGAGGCTCGGAGGGGGGCAGCTGAGGGAGGCGGCGGGAAAGGGGGGAGTCCTGCTTATTTACAGGAGCCTCCAACAGCGGTGAGTGTCAATCCCCCCACTATGACCCTAAGTACGTTCGAAGGCGGAGGAACGGGGGAGGGAGGAGTGAGGACACGGTGGGGAGGGGCAAGGGTCTAGTCCAGTAAGCGAGTAGAGGGAGGGAATCAGGGTGGGCGTGGAGAAAAGGTGAGACTGCCCAATAATGGGACCGAGGTGGGAGGAGGGGGTGCTGCTGAAGAACCGCTTCTCTCCGGGCTTCCCTCGCCCCTCCCCACTTTGCCCTCCCGTGCCCTGCCCTCTACGCGATTCTGCGCGTGCGCAGCGCTCGCACCTAGAGCTGCCAGAGCGCGGGAAAGCTGGAGGGCGCGAGGCGCGAGCAGGCGTTCGAGGCTCCAGGAAGAGGGGAGGGATGATGGAGGTCAGCAGAGGGGAGCGGTGAGGCCCTGGAGCGGAAAATGCGGGTGAGGTCACTGGTTCGTTCCGCAGACTTCTTCACCGCTTTCTCAGGGTCACCGAGATGACCAAGCTGGCGTTATTCTGTGCCAGCCGTCGGGGAAGTTACAGCCTGGGGGCAGTAACCGAAAGGATCCGACCAAGGCGGGAGAAGCACACCCGTCCCTCCTTTTTCTCACCCCCTGCCCCCAAGACAGGCCGCCCAGGCTTGGGGTCCGAAGTCGTGGGCCTGCCACGGACCAGTCATAGATGGGGGCGGGGGAGAGGCGCAGTCGGGTCGCCTCTGGCGTTGATTCAGTTTCCTCACCTGTACCAAAGGGCATCGTCACACTGTCCCCACCTACCTCACCAGGCTTATTGTGAGGGTCCAGTGAGAGCGTGGGAGGGTCAGCTGGGCACCCAGTGTCCTGGGGAGAGTGTGGAGAAGAGGGCTTCTTAACCTTTGCTGAGGTCAAGATACCCACTATGCAGAGGAATACAGGCTCTCTTCATTCTGTATGACTGCAAAGTGTCCCCAAAGGAAAGACCCTCCTACCTCCCCCCAGATCCTGAGTTTGGGCTGTGTACAGGTGATCCCCTCTTCTAGAGTTGTCCCTGAGTTAGTAGGGATTAGTGGGGATGGAAAGGAGGGGAATTGAAAGTCAAGGTAAATCAGTGTATGCTTAAATCTATCCCTCCTTGACGTTTTTTTCACATAGGTGAAAGCAGTTTAAAAATACCAAGGGCAGCCTTGAAGGGGAAAAGAAGTCTCAAATGGCAGCCTGAGGTCTTTGTGGAAGGGATTTGGGGGAGAATCTAGGATAGTGCTACCTCTTTGCCTTGTTTATGGTAGGATTTTTTAAAAAGTGTGTTGATTATGGTGTACACCTACAGCTGGTAGATTTCCCACCACCCCATCTGCCAATAGATTTGGTTCCTATCTAGGAAAGAATTTGTGGAAGACTTTTGAGAGAGCCCTAAATCTTTTTTTTAATTTTTGTTTTGATTTATCAATAATCAGTTCCATATGCTTTTGAGTTTAAAATTTTTCTCCCCCTTCCTCCCCACCACCCTCCCCAAGACCATGCACAATCTGATATAGGCTATACCTTTACATTCCTATTAAACATATTTTCACATTAGTGATGTTGTAAGTAAAAATTGAAACTAATAGGAGGAACCATCAGAAAGAGGAAACAAAACTCAACAGAAGAGAAAAAAAATAGCAATTCAACTTCCATAGTTCTTTCTTTGGGTGTGGATAGCATTTTACATCATGAGGCCTCTGGAGTTGTCTTAGATCCTTGTATTGCTGGGAAGGGTTAAATTTATCAATATTAGTCATCTTACAACATAGCTGTTGTTGTGTACAACTTTCTCTTGGTTCTGCTTACTTCACTTGGCATCAGACCATACAAGTCTTTCAGATTTTTCTGAAGTCAGCCTGTTCATCATTTCTTAAAGCACAATAGTATTCCATTACATTCGTATACCACAGCTTGAGAGCCCTAAATTTTAAGGCCTGATTTTGGTGCAGGTTATCATGTCCTTGCCTCAGTTCTCCATCTTTGAGAATATAACCTTCACTTTCCTTTTTTGACAAACTTTGTAAAGAGATGTATTGTGTGTTATGGGTTGGCCTGGATGACCAATAAGGTCTTTTACAATACTGCAATTGTGAACATATGTGTGAAATGCTTTGATCTCCTCAAGAGAAAGATGCTGTGTAAATTTACAGTAATAAACCCCACCTGGAGAGGCAACATGACAGTAGATAAAGAACACCAATCATGGGGTCAGAAAGACTAGGTTTCAAATCTTCCATCTGATATATATGGACTGTGTGACCTTGGGCAAGTGTCACTTAACTTATCTTAAGTTGCAGAGCAGGTAAGAGGTACATTATATACTGTGGTAGAGGAAATTTCTTTACTGTGAATTTCCTACGCCAATGAAGTTACAGGTTCCTTCCAAAGAAACAAAAACTCACCTAGAAGTTAGTTAGAATCATCCTTATTTTGATTTCCAGTGACAGGAAACACCCTGAGGTAGCCATTCTACTTTTGGACAGCTCATATGTTTTTTTAAAAAATATGTTTATTTACTTTTCTAAAATGATTTTTTAAAATTAATTTACTTTTAGTTTTCAACATTCACCTCCATAAGCTTTTGAGTTTTAAATATTCTCCCCCTTCCTCCTCCCCTCTCTCCCCAAGATGGTGTGCAATCTGATAATGGCTGTACTTATATATTCCTATTAGACATATTTTCACATTAGTCATGTTGTAAAGAAAAATTAGAACCAATAGGAGGAACCACAAGAAAGAAGAAACAAAACCAAACAGAAGAAAAAAGAGCAAATGGTATGCTTTGATGTGCATTCAAACTCCATAGTTCTTTCTCTGGATGTGGATAGCATTTTCCATCATGAAACTTTTGGAGATTCTTGCATTGCTAAGAAGAGCTAAGTCTATCAAAGTTAATCATCACACAGTGTAGCTATTACTGTGTACAATGTTGTCCTGGTTCTGTTCACTTCACTCAGCATCAATCCATACAAGTCTTTCTACGTTTTTCTGAAGTCTACTTCATCATTTCTTATAGCACAATAGTATTCCATTACATTCATATACCACAACTTGTTCAGCCATTTCCCAATTGATGGGCATCTCTTCAATTTCCAATTCTTTGCCACCACATATAGAGCTGCTATAAATATTTTTGTACATGTGGGTCCTTTTCCCATTTGTATGATATCTTTGGGATACAGCCATAAAAGTGCTATTGCTAGGTCAAAGGATATGCACATTTTCATAACCCTTTGAGCATAGTTCCAAATTGCTCTCCAGAACGATTGGATCAATTCACAACTCCACCAACAATGTATTAATGTTCCAATTTTCCCACCCTCTTCCCACCTAAGCAGTTCCCTTATCAGAGATACTGGTTGTAAAAATTCGTTCTCTGTTTTCTGCTTCCCTCCTAATTTTGGTTGCATTGGCTTTGTACAAAAACTTTTCAATTTAATGTAGTCAAAATTATCCATTTTGCATTTCATAATGTTCTCTAATTCTTATTTGGTCATAAATTCTTCTGTTCTCCATAAATATGACAGGTAAATTATTGACAGCTCATATTGTTAGTAAATTTTTCAGTATACAGAGTCATAATCTGACTCCTTGTAATTTCAACCCTTTGTTCATAATTTTTCCCTATGGGGCCAAGTAGAAGTAAGTAACAATCCCTGTTCCACATGAAAATTCTTCATATACTTGAGGACAGCTAGTTGCTATGTTTCCCAGACTTAAATATCTCTAGTTCTTTCAGCCAGTACCATCTACAGCATGGTTTGAAGTGCCTTCCTTTGACTATATGTAACCTGGCTAAGACAGAGTACAACTGGGCTATCACCTCCGTTGCTCTGGACACTGTGTTTGTACTCATGCAGACTAAGATCCCATTAACCTTTTTGGCTGCCACATCATATTACTATCCCTTAGTGAGCTTTTAGTCTACTAGTAACTCTGGATCTTTTTCATAGAAACTACTGGATTTTATTGTATTTTTTGCTGTATCTCCTTCATCCTGTAGTTGTTACAACTTATTTAAACCGAGTGCAAGACTTTACATTTATCTCTATTAAATTTTGTCTTCTGTTCAGGTAACCATTCCAAGACTGTTGAGATCTTAATGTTCAACTTGGGCCTGAGTTCAAATGTGCCACTACTTGTATGCTCTTAGGCAAGTTATATAAAAAATGTCTCTGGACCTCAGGTTCCTTATCTGTAAAATGATGGGATTGAACTAAATGACCTCTATGACCCCTGCTAGCTCTAGATTTGTGATCAAATGATCTTTCCAGATCTCAGTTCTGTCATCCAATCTATCAGTTATCCCTCTAGCTTTGTATCATTTAAGCATGCCTAGAGGATCATAAATTTAGAGTTGGAAACAACTTCAAAGTCCCCTCATTTCATATATGAGGAAGCTGAAGCCCAGATTAAGTGGCTTCTCAGACATCCCACAGATGCCTAGTGGCAGAGTGGTGACCAGTAAGACCAGATCTCACTCCAAACCTGTACTCTTTCCACTAGAGCACACTGATCTGCTATCTCTACCTTCGCTGAATTCAGTGCCACTGACTTTAAAGTATCTCCTATATGCAGTGCATTATTTTAGATTCTAGGGATATAAAGACAAGAATGAATCTTCCTACCATCAAGGATCTATGCTCTATTGTCATGATTTTAATATGTTGAACAGAACAGGGCCAAAGATCTCTGGCACTATGTTAGAGACCTGCCTCTATGTTGACATTGATCCATTAATCAGTATTCTTAGGTTCTGATCATTTAACCAGTTCCAAACTCAATCTAACTTACTGTCATTTAATCCACATCTCTCCATTTTATATATAAATGTATTGGGTGGAGACTTTTTCAAATGCTTTGCTGAAATCTAGCTACTATGTTCATGGCATCTCCTCATTCAATTACTAGTCTGGTAACCCTGTAAAAAAGGAAAAGAGGTGCCTTTTTGATTGTTTGTCCACACATTTCCAACTTTTATAAAGGTTAAAAAGTTATCCTCAACCCCATGCTCATTCTGATACTTCTGTAGTAGATCATTATGGTAAGGAAAATTTATCCTAATATTTTGTAGGATGAAACAGTTCTTTGCATTCAGAAACAGTTCACAGCCAGCTCCAACACTACCTTCACCTTTGACCTAGATCTCTGTCTATCCTTCTCTCTACCTTTGCTTTTATTTGAGTTAGGAGAGTGGTCTCATGACTGAGCCCCTCCTCCAAGTATCCCTAACACAGTTCAGATTATAAGATTAGTATTAAAATATGATTCAAACTCTTAATTTCCAGGTGGTTTCAAGCTTGCAGGTATGACATTCTTTCCTTGGTTTTAACTTGAAATAGCCCTCTAAACTGGACATTCAGCTGAAAATAAAGCTTTAGTAAATTAAAAACCCCTTCCTTGTGTCCTACAAAGTTGGTTATTGGATCAGTCTTTTTTTTTTTTGGATCAGTCTTTTATTGTGCTCATGGTCCCATAGTTTATGATGGGGGTGCTGGCCATATAGGCTATAGATTTTGTGGTTTCTTGAAGCACAAACTAGATCATAATAACATTCTTTTTTTAAAAAATTTAATTTTATCTTATTTTCAATGACGACCCACCTTTTCCTCTATATTGAGAAAGCAAACAAATAAAACTCCTGTTACAGATGTGTAGTCAGAACAAAATAAATTCCCACATTGGCAATGTCCAAAAAAATGCACCTCAATCTTTACTCTGATGAGCTT